GAAAAAGGGTCGTAGACACTTCCACACTTCCGAGTGGAACATGCGCGCACCGCTAAGGGTGGGCCGGTTCCCACCCGTGTACAGGCTTGGGAGATTCACTCACAAAGCCAGCTGGCCAGGCTCTTCTTGGACAGGGTTTTATTGACTGCACTATCACTGAAACAGATGAACAGCTGACCAGTGCATCGAATGGGGGCTGTGTGCTCTACATAGGACGTTAGCCTAGCACACATGGACACAACAGATGCACTCTCACCTCCCTTCACCCTAAGTGGGGTAGGGGGGTGAAAAGCATCCAGATTTATTGTCCTGGACCTGAACATGCTCCTTATGTTCTTAAGAACAAAGGAGGTGTGATGTCCACAGTGCAGCGGATACCAACTGTGGATACCAAGAACCAGCATGCAGCTGGGGCACACAGCTCACTCACCTTCGTAGCAGAGGTGAGAGCAAGACGCAGGGCTGAGATAGCATTTTCATTGAGGACTGCTCCAGGGGCTCATAAGGTGCAGATATTAGAAGCAGCAAGCAGCAAGTCCTACTGAAGCGACACTGGTCGCTGTCTTCTCACACCCCGCAGCGTGACAGCCCCTTCTTCATCAGACCTTGCAGGAAAGAGAAAACGGATCCCACCGAACAGGTAGGCAGATCGGTCTCCCTTTCAATGCATAAACGCTGAAAGCCCAGCCACTTAGCTTTACAGCAAGACGTGGTGGAGACTGCCTGCCGCTTGTATGGTCTGTACGAATCTGCCTCTCCCCCCTTGTAGGAGCAAAACCTGGAGAGGCTGGTCCAACACCAGCATTGTGCATATGAAGTCTCACCCTTGTGACAGAGCCCCCCAGACCATAGGTACAGGCCACGTCAGGCTACGTCACTTCTACCAGAATGACGAACGACCGTTCCCGCCTCACCTAACTGGAGGGATGAGATGGGGTTTGGGGGAACGCAAACAGCAGCCCTTCTGGCAATGCGTGTGTAACGCGTCCATCCCCAAGGGTGGGCTGTCCTGTGGCTGAATTGAGAACCACAGCGGGCAGTGGGTGTTGGCAAACAGATCCACCTCTGCTCTCCCGAAGCGAGCTCAGACCTGCTGAACTACATTGTTGTGCAGTCTCCACCCGCTCGGTTGGGGGCCAGCTCTTGACATGAAGTCAGCCACCCCCTTTTTCCAAGCTACGTGCATGATTAAATTTCAGTGGGCAAGTGTGTGCGTGTGATTGGAGGAGGTAGTAACCATAGAGTCCAGTAGAGGGCAGAGCCTGTGTGCGATAGAACTACTGCTAACGGTAGATGCCGCTTGCTAGTTAGCTCAGTTAGCCGTGCAGCTAGGTGTCATGTTAGCTGACTCTGCCCAGACTGGAAGCTTGGTGCTCCAGGAGTATGTTTGTATTTAGGCCTATGTCTTTAGTAGAGAAGCTTTGGACAGCGCTGGTTCAGACAGAGTCATAACAGAAAAAATCACAGAGTTGAGGCAGAGCAGAAGACATCAGCATGAAAAACAAAAAAAAATTGTCTTTCATTCATAATCTCCAGCTCCAGCTTGGTGGAATGACCGCTTGGTGTTTTTGTTGTTCAAAGGAGTATTATTTACTGCAGTGTAGTGCTGAAGTTGTTTTTATTATTTTGTCCTTTCCTGTTTTTTTACCTCTGCCAAGGAGGTTGTGTTTTATGTGTTAGTTTCTTAGTTTGTTTGGCTTTTTCTCACAAACTAGGCTACATGACACATTTAAGTGAAATGTGTAACAGGCCCCGGGCACAGCGGACGTAAACAGATGATAAGCCTGTAAACAGGAGAAATAATAAAGCAGAGAAAACCTGCGGCCATTCGTCTTCTCTGTCATGCCAGAATTTATTGAATAAACAATGTCAAATCTTTTATATTCATCCACTTAATCCAATATTTTTTTAGTTTTCATTTAGACATGTTCATCAAAATGAACAAAGTGCCTAAAATAACTTAAAATAACATTAATCAACATGCTATGTCATTTTCTCATATGACTCATTAAAAAGGAATATAATCTTTTCATATATATATATATATATATATATATATATATATATATATATATATATATATATTAGTTCTGTACCTAAGGGGGGGTTCACACTGACCTTGTTTAGTCCAGTTGAACCGAACCCTGAAGCGTTTACCCCCTTGGTGCAATTTGTTGGGTCGGTGTGAACGCCGGACTCAAACACCATTCAAATCAATCACAAGAAGCTTCAATTGTATATGTCATTTAAAAAATACTTATTATTACTGTACTATTTTGTGTATTATTGTTGTTATTTAAAATAGTTCATATTATAGGTTGTAGGTTTTGCTCGTTTGCCTTGGTGTTTGGTACATCCAATCAACACATTAAAATTAACTAAAAAGAAGTACTGCAACAGTCAAGAGAACAGAAGGTTCAACAGAAGGAGGGAGTTTGACTGGGGCGGTACACCTGTTAAACGGTAATGTAGGTTTCCTAAGGTGAGTTCAGGGAGGAAAGAAACCTCCTGTGGAGCAGAAAGGCAAACTTTAGCTTGATCTTGATTTTCTGTATGAATATAGATAATATATCAAAATATGAAAGAGATACTATAAAAAACATTACAACAAATATTTACAATATATTATAATAATAATAGGCTAATTAGTTTTGTATGTAGCATGTAGGGATATATATGCATTCATTCATTTATTCAAGGAGATACATATGTATTCTGTAAACATAAGCAGCGTTTATGATTGACCTTTACTAGCCAATTGCATGGGCCAACTTGTTTTATGTCTGCAATTGTGGCCTACTTACTGCACTGGTCCACTTTGCATGGCAAATGCAAACAAATCTGTGATAAGACCGTCTGATGGCAGAGCATCTTCCACGAAATGCCTGCATTATCAAATGATTTAATACCCTGTTTTACGAGACGTTGTGTAATATTTACTATCTTAACATTTTAAATTTTAGGATGAAGTTAATATAAAGTATAGTATAAGTCACTTTTGTTTAAACCCCTCTACTGGCACACTTTTTATATATGCGTTAAGAAACACTATATACACATACAATATGTTTTAAGGTTTAAAAATGACTCTCTCTGTGTGATGAGTCTTTACTCCAAGCACTGACAATGATTTACTCCTCTTTGTGAGCATTTTTTAATGTAAATAGATCAGAACCCAGGTGTTGGGAAATTATTACCAGGCATGTGTGCAGAGAAAGTATAAACAAAAGAAAAATGAGTGTTTCCAAAAAGATAAGAATAAGACCACTTTGGTAAAATCCCTGGAAGACATCTAGTTGTGAGCAATGTATTACAAAGAATGATGGGTTTTAAGCAATAAGTGATTGATTTACCATAATTATGTATTCAGAAAATGTTTTGATCTTTACGATCTGTCCTTCTGATTTGCAAAGCGTTAAGATCACAATGTTAAAACTTTGAAGCTCTGTGTGTGTGGTCCTCTCTGTATCTGACTGACCGGGCTCAACAGGGGGACCTGGGTGTGTGTGTGTGTGTGTGTGTGTGTGCTGTCAGGCAGAGGTAGAGCAAGACACACAGCAGAGTGAGGGAGCACAATAAGGCAGTGCACAATAAGGATGTCATGATCAACAATAAGCATGCCAAGGCCAAAGAGAGGTAGAGCAGTACACAGTCAGGCAGACATCATGGTGAATCTATGACAGCCACTTGGCTATCTGGGAATTTCCACAGAACCAGTTGCAGCAGGAAAAAGAGCCAAGAGATGAAATAAATGCTTAGAAACAAAGCTGTAAAAGGAGGTCCAAAAGAAGCTCAAGAAGAAAATCAGTTGCTACATGCCATCATGTCAACCTGGGTCTCTATTTTGCATCGATCTCTCTTTTGTACTCTAATTGGTGTCTATTTTTGCTGAAAATAAACATGTTAGGAAAAGTTCAAGCTTTTTCATCTGGCTTAAGCCTTGAATTTTTTACACGACAATGTTCATATTTATGACCCTCTAATGTCTGCTGATATGCGCTCCAGACACCAACATGAACCTGATGGTGCTCCATATATGATTTCCAGGTAGAAATTTATAGGGGTTGTCTTTTTACCCGCCGACTGTATGACCAATAATCCAGGGACATTTCCACTTTTTTTACAATTTCTGGACCATTTGATTTTATGCCTTTGTGAACACAAACGGACCAGTTGAAAAATTTAAACAATGTATCATCTTCGCATTGGTTTGATTCAGGACCCGGACAGTTAGGTGTGAGCCCGCCCTTACATTCCAGTTTACTGTACTCTCTTTAAACCCACTGATTTGTAATGTCCCAGGCAAGATGGTGGCATTTCAGCATTCAAAGGACCCAACGCCACAGATTTTCATAAACAGAATACAAATGAAACACTTAAAATGTTAAACTAATAAAGTTCATGGGAGTTATAAACTTTAATAGTGGAGCTCTACGTTAATCAGTGGCCTGTACTACGAAGGGAGTTCAACCTATTCAGAGTTAACTCAGGGTTATCAAGTAAACTCAGGGTTGGCTAACTCTGACCACCTACACTGGTGTTAAACAGTACTACGACGGTGAATAAGATGTTAAATGATACTAAAACTAACACCCCTACTAATGGCTTTGCATTTCAAAATGACATACCAGAAGCAAAAAGCTGACCTGCCGCTGGTTGAAAGTTTTCTTTATAAGTATGAAAGCATCCATAGCAACCCTGACTTACTATACATCATCCTTGCAAGGTTTTTAAGTACAAAAAGGTCTGGGTTTATTTATTACAGTAAATGTGTAAAAAAGGCACAACATAATAAATGTTTTACTGCTTGACTTTATAAAATAATATAATTTGCTCTGTTTAGTTTAACTATTAAACAATTTCTGCTTAAATTTTGGATTCCCATAAAAGGCTAATGATAAGGCTCATTTCGAAATAGCCTGTAGAATATGTCAAGGGATATGAATCAGACAACGCTGTGATTGTCTCTGATGTACTGTCAAAGTTCATCTCTCAACAGGGAGGGCAGCCAGCCTGGGGGCGGGGACTAACTCTGTAACTTAAGAGTGGGGAAACTCTTTTTCTGTCCTTACTCTCCACATATTTAAGGTAATTGTAGAATACTTTTGTACAGTCATTGTTAGTGAACATTAGTGATTTAAAGTTAGCTTTTGAATAGCAGCTTATTGAATGCACATCATTGCTGTTTGTTTGATTTCCAATCACTGTGTGTCTTGCATTGCAGAAATCAGTCATGGCTGCAGAAGCGAAGCAGACTTGTTACGAGGGCAGTTCTGTCCAAAGCTTTCGGTTCTTCCTAGAACATTCGGGAGAGCACCAGGCTATTCTCCAGCGTGTTCATGACATCCTGCCAGGAGAATTTAAAAGGTACAAGAAGAAAGGCTGGGAGTGCTGCACTGCACTTTGTTTCCTTCCTTTACCCAGACTGAGTAGTTGTTCTGGTTGCCTTCTTTATGTCTTTTTTGCATTCAATCATTTAACTCATTGAGCTACTTTCTGACTTAAAAATGTCCTTTCAAAGTGAAATGAAATTGCACACCATTTCATGCAGGCGCAAGGCTGGCAATAGTGCCCTCTCTGTTGGTCAAAAGTTATTTTTTTTGTGCTTGTGCCCAAGTTCCATGTCCTAACAACCCTGATAACGCAGAGGTGGGTAGCTTGCAGGAAACACAGTGCAGTTTTGTTTCCACTTTTTGATTTTGTCAGAAATGTGTTCAAGTAATGCATGATTCTTACTAAGAATGCAATCCAAAGCCGCTTGTAGGATGCACTGTACTGTTCTTTCTCATTTGATGGCTATTTCTGTTTCCATGCAGCAGCAGAATTGATATGTACGATCCATATAGTCTCTAACTGGGCGACTGATTTGTGCATAAAACACATGTGTTTATTACGCCTTAGCTGTATTTTTAGTCTGCACCTGTGGATGTGTAACGGTTCTCTGTATGGAGGTTATATATGGTCCTGACTTGAACCAGCGACCTTGGGTATGGGAAGCAGACATTCTAACGAGGAGGCTAAAACACATGGGCACTACATCAAATATGTCTACAGAAGAATTACTAAACAACTTCAACAATACATGTAAAGCTGTAGTTGACTCCTGTTAAAATCTGGAAAGTCATAGCAACTCACAGCATGTCTTGGCTAAATAACAGCACCTGAGAAATTAGGAGAAAATGCAGACAGTCTGATGGTTTCATATCAAAGTATGTAAGAACTAATGTCTATCTATCTATCTCTCTATTCAAAACTACTGAATCCGTAATCCTCCTCTAATCCAACAAACTGAAGCCACAACTATGATCTGTGAACAATTTTTATTGTTCTTCACACCCAAAAAAAAGTGAAATAAAACTCCAGATTGGTCATGCCATAGTTGACCCTACTTCTCTACGATGCAAACCATCTTCAGTGACTTTCAGGCCCTTCACTGTGCATTTTAAAGGACACAATGGCCAATTTAAAGCTTTCATTGAGTCCTTCAGATTTTATGCCTGCCAGATTTCTCAAAAAAAGTTTTAACAGTGTTAACACTATTTTATCGATTGTAAATAGCTCACTGTCCACTGGCTGTGTTCCCTTCTGCCTTAAGCAAGCAATAGTGTACCCACTGAACCTTTATCTCAGAATATGTTAAACATTTTAGACCCATTTCTTTGTTACTGTAACTCATTGTATTCAGGTTTGAGCCACAAAACCATCTCATGCCTTCAGCTGGTACAAAATGCAGCATCTCTGCTTTTAACAAATACTAGAATACAAGATATTACCTGTTTTAGCATCTATTCACTGGTTACTAGTTAATTTTAGATTAGATTTTAATGCAATTCATGGCTCAGCTCCCAGCTTCATTGCTGAATAGCTACTCTCATGTGAGCCAGAGCGCAGCCTCAGATCCTTTGTGAGGGCTCTGCTGGCTGTTCCTGAGTCCCAGCTCAAGACTAAAGGTGACTGGGGTTTTGCAGTCAGGGCCCCTCAGCTGTGGGACTCCCTGCCCGAAGATCTGAGATTTGCCGAATCAGGGACATTTAAATCACTTCTCAAAACATATCTTATCAAAAAGCCTTTAATTAATTCTGACACAGCATGTATTGGCAACATGTCTTATCTATTTTATTGTAAGTATTTATCTTTATTGATTTATTTCATTTTATTGCTGTACCATGTTATTTGCCTGATCTTTTATTTCTCTCAGTCCTGAAATGCTTTATCCTGGTTCAATGATATAAAACACTTTGTTATTGAGTGACACACAGATTTATAGTACGTGCTATTGGGTAATGCAAATATGTTTATTTGTTTTTAACATTTTTACTTTTCATTTGTTTACAATCATGTGTTGATTCAGAATTGGAGCAGGAAAAAGCAGCCTGGATGTTCTTGGTGTCGGAAGTGGTGGAGGTATGTGATGAGTGCTAGAAATTAGAGTGGGATTTATGTGTTTAAAGAAGCAGTTTTATTTAAAGAATGTCTGCCTGGAATTGCAATTGCAATTCAAACCAATTCCAAATGTGGCTTGGATCCAATTATGAAAAATCACATTTGACAAGTAACATGTGGTTAACATTGTGAAATGGTCACAGTTTGGTTAGGTTTGGGAAAATACCGTGGTTTGGCTTAGTGACTTAACTTCGTAACTCACGTGACGTTAATCATCTACACTAACTTAATTTAACTTAAAACTTATCACTGTCTTTTTTCACACAGGACTCGAACCTCTGTCTTTTCATCCATCTACCCCAACTACCTCTTTACGCGCACTTTGTTGTTGTTTATATTACGTCACCTGACTTCTTCCTTTGCTACCGTCATCTGGCTGCTAGAAGTTGTG